TTTGTTGAATGCTGTCTGCCTAGAAGCCAGCAATATATCCATCACTACAGGTAGATAGTCCCCCTTCAACAAGGCCTGTTAGTCAGTTTTAAAGCTGTTATTTGAGTCAGCCTGCAGCTAGGTGAAAGACAGGATTTTGGTGGAGTATTCTTTGAGAAATCTTGGCTGCCTATTATTAGGTGAAGGTGCATTGAAAACTATGGAAGCCACAGATAACAGAGTGATTCCTTTTCCACCTGGAGCTTCTAGAGATGCTTGGAAATGAGTATGACACAGAAAAAGAACAGAGTCCTCAGATGCCACAATTATTGAGAGCATCTTGGACTTCCACCTATGCTTGGCGGTGGCTGGGAGGGCTTTCGCACAGTCAAAACTCGTGTGCCAGCTGCGACTGTACTTCGAGAAGTCTGACTTGACCATGGTGGTCCATGACTTAGTTTCCTCAAAAATAAAGCTGTTGTTGTTGTTGTTACTCAAGGTTGGATTACTGTAATGCACTCTACGTGGGGCTGCCCTCGAAGACGGCCCGGAAACTGCAATTGGTGCAAAGGTTGGTGGCCAGATTGTTAGCTGGAACAAATTACAGGGAGCGGGCACCCCCCCCCCCCTGTTTAAACAGCTCTGCTGCCTGCTGATAAGTTTCTGGTCCCAATTCAAAGTGCAGGTCATCACCTATAAAGCTCTAAACCAGGAGTTCTCAAACTAAGGCCCGAGGGCCGAATACAGCCCTCCAAGGTCATTTACCTGGCCCTTGCTCTGGGTCAACCTAAGTCTTGAAAGCACACAACAACAACAACAACAACCCTATCTCATCAGCCAAAAGCAGGCCCACACTTCCCACTGAAATATTAACAAGTTTATATTTGTTAGAATTGTTTTTCATTTTAATTATTGTATTGTTTTTAAGTGTTTTTTTTTTTGCACTACAAATAAGATATGTGCAGTGTGCATAGGAATTCATTCATGTTTTTTTCAAATTATAATCCAGCCCTCCAACAGTTTGAGAGGCTCTGACCTGGCCCTCTGTTTGAAAGGTTTGAGGATCCCTGCTCTAAACGGTTCAGGACCTGCCTATCTTTGCGACCATATCTTCCTCTATGAACCCACATGCTCTTTAAGATCTCTGGGGAGGCTCTGCTCTCACTTCCACCTCTGTCGCAGGCTCGTCTGGTGGGGAGAGAAAAGGCCTTCTCAGTCATAGTCCCTGCTCTGGAACTCACTCCCCAAGGAGATTAGGCTAGCACCCTCCCTTGTCCACCTTCCGCAAGGACTTAAAGACATGGATGTTCCATTTTGCTTTTAACTAGGCAATTCCCTTGACCGCTGGCCCAAGTTAGGACCCAAAAAATCTTGTCCTCAAACACTTTACAATTGTTATATCCAGGTCCTTAAGTGGTAAATCATTCTTACTCTCAACGCTGCTATACGATACTTACACTTTACTCATTAGCTGTATACTTTAATGCTGTGGCACCAGACTGCCCACACACGATGAGACATTGAACTTTGCTATTGGTTTTCGGTTCTGATGTTCGTTTTATACAGTATTTAATGTTGTTGCTTATATTTTGTTATATTGCTTTTGTTATTATTTTGTTGATATGCATTTTAATGTGCTATGTTTTAACTGTTCTGTTGGACTTGGCCCTATGTAAGCCACCCGAGTCCCTTCGGGGATATGGGGACGGGGTATAAAAATAAAGCTGTTGTTGTTGTTGTTGCTGTTATTATTATTATTATTATTATTATTGCTCTTCTGAAACTGGAGATAGACTTGGTCAGCTTGGTGGGTGTCATGCGACCAAAAAATGTCCTGTAGGAGGAAGATGGGGCATTTTAGATGGGCAGGGTAGCAAAACTCTCTGGACAACAAAGCAGAAGTGATTTATGAAGATCAGAGGCTGGAGAATATTCCTTTTCAAGGAAATCCTGGGGATCTAGGGGAAGTCCTGTAAGATGCTTGCAGTAGGAATCTTTGGAGTTAGAAGAGTAGTTCAACTCTACAGTCCTCATGATCTAATGAGATCTCTTTCCAAGCTTGGGAGCACTAGGGGCTCACCATCTTTGTCAACTTTATATGAGAATATGGTTTTGCTTATATATTGGGTAATTTGGATTGTCACCACCTCCTCATGGAAAAGGAATCTATTTGTTAAAGTACACCTCTCTGCTGCTACAAAAAGCGAATCTCACAACTGAGAGGAAAATTGGTGGTGCTGAACACTGCCCATAGAAAGTTGAACAGTATCCATTTAAAAGGAAAAACGATTTAGTCACATGAGCTGTATCCTAAAATGGCTACACATCTGAAAGATCAATCTGGGAGGAATGGGAAAGAAAACATGCCTGGAGCCATGAACAATTTAAAGGCCCCTGCCCTCCTTAGCTTCATTCAGGAGGAAATGGAGGGACATCATCTCCAGGAAGAGGGTAAATTTCTCAATTAACCTGAACAATCAAAAACAAAGAAAAGGCCTCAAAGATCAAAAACTAACAAACAAAATACCCTGGGGTTTTAAGGAAATGACCGGCTTTCAGAATACAGTTTTAAGCAATCCAAGAGTTCTTCTCCTCAAAAAGAATCCAAGTACAAGGCAGTCTCCAAGTAACAAACATGATAGATTCTGTGGGTCTGTTCTTAAGTTGAATTTGAATGTCAGCCAAAACAGGTACATTTTTAAGTGTAACTTCAGATAGATAGATAGATAGATAGATAGATAATGTATATATGTGTGTGTATACATATATGCAAGCTTTGGATGGCATAGGGAAGAGTTAACACCCCTGTGGTGTTTGTTTTGCTGTCTGTACCCCTGTTCAGAAGATTTTATCTCATTGATTATAAAGCTTCAGTTGAGACACCTTTTCCCCATGATAGTTCTTTCAGCAGTAAATTTCCCTTCTGAGGGGTAGATTTCTTTAACTTCCTATCATCTCAGAATTGTTCTTAACCATATGTCATTTCCAAGTAAGATGTTTGTAACTAGGGGACTACCTGTACTTCCATTAACAGTTTCATTCAGTTTTGCTATTTAAGTATTCTTAAACTCGATACAAGTAATTTAAGTTCTGTTCAAGCACATGGTACTGGCATCATTGTAATGGTTGAAAGACTGTGATCTTCTACTTTAAACAAACTTCGTCTATTTCAAAATGCAGTTAAAAAGCTTTCTTGGAACTTTAACTCACGGATTTGTATTCGTCAATCTGGTCATATGAATAGCAATACTGCCCTCTGGTGTTTAAATTTATTCAAACACAGAAAAGAAATAGCATGAATATACAAAATGACAAGCATGAGCTGAGCAAAAATTGGAAATCATGCCGCTAACTCAGTTATGAACAGATGGCAAAATTCATTTGACAGAAATCTAGAACACATTTAGCCAACAGACTGCCATGTGTTCAGTTATTTTGTGAATATATTTCATACAAAGAGAGAAAAATGATTATAACTAGTCATTACACAAGTCTTGATTGCTAGAATTATTTCTACTTCTTTCTCTCTTTTGCTCAGATTGTTTTCACCCCAATGCTAAGAAGTAGGAAAGACACTAAGCAAGTTTTCTGGCCACAAGGAGATGTGAATTCTAATCTACTCCGGAACAGTAGCACTTTAACAAGCCAGCTCTCAATGAATATAACCTGTGGAAAATAAACTAGAAACTAGCAAAAAAAAAATAAAAATAAGGTGCATATACACTACAGAATTAATGCAGCTTGACATAACTTTAAATGCCATGGCTCAATGCTATAGAAGTATGGGAGTGCCAGTTTAAAGAGGTATCATCACTTTTTGCAACAGAAGGTTAAAGACCTTCTAAAACTGAAACTCCCATGATTCCATAACCTTGAGCAATGCCAGTTGAAAGGGAGGTCAAACTGCATTAATTCTACAGGGTAGATGCACCCCTACTCTCAGTAAAGAAAGCATTTCATGCTCCTAAACTGGTAAAGACACTACACAGAGTTTTATTTATCAATAGGACAAACCTTTTAATGTTTTATCAGGGGAGGGTCAATTTTGATTTTATACTGTTTTTTTATCAATGGCATTTAATTGTTGCCAACATTGTAAACCGCCTTGAGTCCCCTCCGGGGTTGAAAAAGGTGGTATATAAATACTGAAAATAAATAATTCAAAACACCTGTTCACAGAGATACTATACCTTTACAAAACTTTATATACTTAATTATTTTTTAATTTTTATTTAGCTAACGGGCAGCCATTTCCCACAGTCATATCAGAAACTTCTACTGGAATGACATAATGCTGATATAACCTTATCCCAATCTATGAACTGAACTTATACAGAACAACTAAATTTGACAACTGCCATATCGAATGATCACAAATGAATGAATCTATGAATTATATTTATATTCTAGGTTTAAAAAAATCATGATTTTGCCCTCTTCTTGGCATAGTTGTGAAACTGCAGAAATCAACACTGGGATGTACGTTTAACTCTTTCTCAGTTCTCCATGCATGGGAAGACTTGTTAACACTATCTTTTTCTCAACACTGCTTCCTTTCCTGGAACTGTTTTTCAAAATTGAGGGTCATGTAATTTGTAGTCTGAGGCACCAAGGAGCAAATGATGACTAAGTTGACATAAAGGAAAAGTATAAAGGCCTTATTTTCTGGGAAATGTTTGGAAGAAGTGGCTGGTTATTTATCTACAGAAAATGAGGCTGATCTTCTCCAGAAAAAAGAGAGAGGCAGAGAGAAGACGTATCAAAAAGAGAGATGGGTCTAAATAGAATTAATTACAAATGCTATATTTATTGTATTTTTTATCATCTAAAGAAGTTAAAGATGACATAGATATTTCAAGAGGGTTGTAGATCATATTTTCTGGCCATATTTCATGAACCTCTGAGGTCAAGAAGTGGGTGATTCCTTATGACTGCATTTGCAGTAAAAGTTCTTATTTGTTTACATGAAACAAGGAAAGAAAAAGGCCTGTAAATAAGAATACAAAATATATGCAGTTTACCGTTTTGATGAAAGTTCGTTGTTTTTCTTCCCAAACATTCTCACTCAGTTCAAATGTGCAATGAATAGTGACTTCCCTCTCATAGGATCCAAAAATAAGTAACCTGGAATGCAAGAATATTAGCAACATTAGTATTCAATAATGTTGTTACCATCATTTTTTTTACATTTCTTGTAATACCGTAACTATGTTAATTTGCTCATATTAAGCAGAATATACAGATATATACAAGTATTTTCACAACTCAACGTTGTTTGTAACATCAGAAGTGCAATGAAGCATTTACTCCCTCTAGTGGAAAAGACAATAAATCAGAAGTATTCAGATCCAGTTTCTTCACTTCCCCAAGAGAGCAAGCTGGATCTTCTTGTGCCACTCTTATCTTGAAATCCGGCAAAAGTAGTAGTTAAGCCTATTCTTTCAAGCTGTGAAAAACATAATTTATTCCTGAAACCTCAGAAACACTCAAGACGGAAAAAGAGGTCTCATAGTTTTCTGAGAATTTTAATTATTGAGAATGACAAATAAATTCTGAGAATTTTAATTATTGAGAATGACAAATAACCCACCAAAACCATGTTTAGGTATATGTGAAAGTTTCCCAGATGCTAATAGCCTTTGGCCTGTTTTCCATTTGTCTTCAAAGACAGTGCCATATGAAGAACAATCTGTAGTCTTTTAAATTAAGAAAGACATCGATTCTGGCTGATGCTGTGCTTTCATTCCAGCATAATACATGTGCACCAGTGGCTTTATTTGTAGAATATTTATTTGTTGCTTGAAATACTTCCATGACTCACCTTGATTTAAATGTTTTAGCTTGTACTAGACTAATTTTAAAGTATATGATCCAACTTTATATGCTTGCCATTTCTAAGCTTATATTTAGCTTTCATATTCAAATTGTCTTTAGATTAATAATAGCTACAAAAAGAACTGATTGAGAAATATTGTTGTCACAGTCCTGCTGGTGTAATTATAATAGTGGGCTAACAAGGTCAAGAAGAAAAAGACCATGGAAATAGCAGTGGCAAAGCGAAGCAAACAAATGCATCAGCAGCCTGATGTTTGGGTGGATTATCACACCCAGTATAATCTGGAAGCTATTTTGAAAAGTTACATGTGATGACTTTGTCCTTCCTTGCCATTACCCCATGCCTCTGGAAAAACTGCTATTGCTAGCAGAATGGACCTTCTGGCTTGCTCACATGAAATGCAGGATATTGCTCAATGCTGCCTTTATGAAAATTATGTATTTTATTTCCCTCTTCTTCTTTCTAAGCTATTTTCCCAATGGTGATTGTTGTTTCCGCAGGGCTTTGTTTTGGGCATCCTCAGGTCTCAGGTTGGCAGCCCCACATGTCTTTGTTGATGGTGTCCATCCATCTTTTCTTTGGCCATCCACATGGTCATCGTCCTGCAATCTCCAAATGTAGTTCTGTTTGTGGTACTCATGTTAGTTCTCTTCTCATGACATGGCTGTACCATTGTAGTCTTGCTTCCTGCATTTTCTCGCTAATCGCTTATATTCCTAGTCTTTGACAGATGTCATCATTTGGCACATGGTCAAGATGTGTCAAGCCACGTATCCATCTTAGCATTTTCATTTCCATTGTGTTAACGGTTTGTTCATGTTTCTTTTTGGTTGCTGGCCAGCACTCTGCCCCATAGAGGGCTACTGGGCAAACAACTGTTGTGTCGATCTTAGCCTTGAGTTGTTCAGGCATTTTTGAGTCACACAGAATGCCAGCAGTTTGCCAACATTTCAACCAGGCTGCATTTATTTGTCTGGCATTGTGTCGCCATCTATGGTTTTTGGTGCTATGTTTTCTGCATAGGGATGCACAGTCTGCAAATCTGCTGTTGCAGTGTCCATGAAGAGTATGAATAGTAATGGTGGGAACGCTGATCCCTGATGTATGCAACAGTGATGTTTAAGGGTGGTGAAATCCCTGCTGGGCAGCGGACCATACTTGTTGTATTATTACATAGTAGCTTTATCCATGTTACACAGTCTTCTGGTATTTCATGTGACTGTAGTGCTTGCCAGATCAGATCATGGGGAGCCCGATCAAATGATTCAATTTATGGGTTCACTTACATTACAATAAACATAATCCAGAACTATTTTCTTAACCTATACTTAATCTCTGGGGCTAATTTTAGTCTATTTGTGACCTTTCATTACTCTTTTTCAACACTTATTTTGAAATGGAAGTTTACCATTCCTTTGTGTTTTGTTGACATGCATGGCAGTATGTGTTCCAATGTCTCTTAATCATTTTAAATGTTTGGTCCTCTTTATGATGTTGGGATTTTTACTTTCATGACAAATCAGTCTATCCAAGAGTTTGAGATGATGAAGGTTGCAGTTAAAAGACATAAAGAAGGATACATCTCCCTTTCCTGTAATGTCACTTAGCAATGTTTAAAACTTATTAATGCAAAACAAGATTTGATTATTTTGATTTAAGCAGACACATGAACACCTACTCAGAAACACACAAAATAGGAAACCTTACTGACATATAAGTGTGCTTGAGACAGGGAAGCTAAATTATTTTAGTTCTGTCAATAATCATTTACAAAATAATGGACATTTCATATAGATATAAAAGCAAGTACTGATCTGCTAAGGATTTTATAACCAAGTACTGTATATTCTTTCCCTACACATGAATACCACCCAATTGATTTTAAAAATCCACATTTTTATATTGGATGTCTTTTGATCTGCTTTAAAATCAGAGAGGAATCATAATTTGACTGCAGTATTTCAAAATATCATATTATCCCTAAGGCTAAAGTGAAACTTGCCTGCTTATATCTGAAATGCTATATTTGGCTGTGTATCCATTAAGATTCTATAATTAAAAATTGTTGATTTAAAGGGAGGATAAAGAAGCAACTATTAAGAATTTAAAGCTGATGAATTATCAAGTATTACCCAAGAACTGAAATATAAGGCAAAGCATTACATGCAGCAAGGCAATATTTAATTCTTGCTGATATTGCTTATTTTTATATTTTGTCTTCTATATCTTAATGTTTGTGAGGGTTGGAAACATATTCTTTTTTCCTATTTATTGATACATCCATTCAATTAACAAACTTTTGCTATACAAATCTTATCTCGATATAAGTTATTTCAAAAGTCACTTTACCTTATATAACACTTTACACATTTCTTAGATGTGTATCTCCCATTACCCATACCCCCCACCCATGTTCCCCCTCCCTCCTGGAACAGCAATTCCAAATGATGTCATTGCATCAGTTTAACTGTGTGGAAGGTACTATATCTTCCACACAGTTCATATAGTTCAAGGTACTATATCTATCATCTTTGTCTATTTTATTGATTAAAATAGGCCATTTCATATACCAGTTTTGTTTTGTATGACTATTCATATACTAGTTTTTCCTTTGATTAATTAAATCATTGATTATATAAGATAAGACCACCATATTTCTAAATCCCATGTTGTATTGTCTCTCCATCCTCGGACTACTGTAACCTGTATTGCAGCTATCATATATTTTAGGATTTCTGTCCAATTATTGTTATCTCCCTTTGCCTCTATAGTGAGAGACATGAATCTCTCTTTATCCAACTTTAATTTTTTCCCTATTATTTCTTCTATTACATTTCTTATTTTACTGTAATCGTTCTTAATTTTTCTACAATCCCACTACATGTGGGAGAATGAACCTATTTCCCCCATACTTATGTCAACATTTGTTGGAAATATTTCCCATTATATGAGTTAATTGAAGGAGGGTTCTATACCATTTAGAGATTATTTCTTTGATCCTCATATGTTTAATTTTCTGAATGTTGTCAATCCAAGAACTGAATAATTTCTCGTTAAAGTTATTTTTTTTCCAATTCCCTATAAGGGTGGTTTTTGTGTTGTAAGATAAGGTGATTAATTCCTTGTACAATAACCCAACAATTCCAAGCCCAATCAACCAAGTTAAAATTTAACACATTAAAACGCATAAAAATATAATAATAATATATAAAAGGCATCAAAAGCAACAACCAATAGTATAATTCAAGATAAGATAAAAGGTCTTTGCATTTAATCTTGCCCTAGTTTGAAAATTTTCCATTGGGCTCCACAAAGTCCCCTACCTTTTTGATACCATTTTCTTACAGGGCCTTTATTAGGTTCCTGAATGTCTTGTCCTTATTTTCCAAGTTTTCTAATGGGAAAGGGTCAATTTTATATATTTATAAATTATTTTGCCATTTTTTCCCAATTAACAACATTGTTAAGCAGGGGCCAACCTTTAAGTTCTTTATTTTTTTTTGTCTACTCTCTCTCTCATACATGTTCCCCTTTTCCAACTATTTCCTTCCTTTTCTAATTGCACCCTTCCTTTTGACCATTCCAGTTCAAATTCTAATGACCTGGCTAACTGACTTGCCTCATAGTATACTCCCAAAGAACCCCCCCCCCCCCCAATCCACCCACATATTCTTAATATAAATTTCTATATAGACCTGCTTTATGTTTATCACTGAAAGTATATGGTTGCCACATTGCAAAAAGCCACATTTAACATAACAGGACTTGCATATGATTTTACTGTTAATATCTGAAAACAAGTAGTGTCACTTTTAAGAAAAAGAAAGGATTGTTTTGCAGCGCACTTACAAATAATACTAACCTAGATTAAAATGTGCTGCTAATAGTTATTATCAATATCTCACAGCAATCTTCAGTTAGTGAAGAGATATCAAATGTTGTGCTTATTGTAACTGAAAACATTTTAAAGAAAAATCAGTTGTGCTTGTGCACATAGTTGGACTTGTGTTGATATCTTATCCTTACTTTTAAGTTCCACAGGCCTAATCCACAATCTAGTTCAGGCCATATGCATGAATTTAAGAAACTTTATCAAATCAAAATTAGAAATAGTTCTAAGTACTTACCTTGCACATTCTATCAAGGAAAGTTTCAATCGTCCTTCAGTTAGTGAAAAATCTTTTATACTGAGAAGCCGATCCTGATATTCTTCATAGGGTTCAACTTGAAATGGAAAGAAAGGCTTGAACCTAATTTAAAAGATAAATATAAATAAGACCGTGATATGAAACAATTACAAAATTATAGCTATGACAAAACAGAATAGAGTTCAGGAGTGAGGAGTAGAAGAAAGAAAATAGATATTTTGCAATGCTGTGATCTGTATTTTCACAAGTTAGCTCTATGGGAGACATCCACAGAAGCATAATGATCCCAGGAGGGGGCGGGGCAGAGGGTGAGACCAGACGCGGATCACCCTCAGGTGATCTCCCCATCCTTATGCTGGGAGGAAGGTGAGGCTTTGGCGGGCCCTCGGTCTCCGCCTGTCTCTCCCTTCTGCCAGCATCGGGATGGGGCTTCGCCTCATCCTGATACCGGGTGAAGGGCAAGGCAAGCAACAGGCAAGGCGGCTTTGGAGCCACTTCACCTGCCACATGCCTTTTCACAAGGCCAGGCTTCTCCCGGCATTGAGGCAGGAACGCTTGTCCTGTCTTTATGCCAGGAGGAGGGCCCAAGGAAGGCATGCAGTGACTAAGAGGGCTCACAGCCATCACATGTCTTCCTCCCTTGTCCTTTCGGCGGAGGATGGGGGAAATTTTGAGGACCGGGCATAAGGGCTCAGAGGGCCGTTTCCGGCCTGTGGGCCTTAGTTTGCCCATGCCTAATGTAGATGCACCCTGAGTTATTGGAATATGGGTATCTAGGACAGGCATGGGCAAACTTAGGCCCTCCAGGTGTTTTGGACTTCAACTTTCAGAAACCCCTGCCAGCTTACTGGCTGTTAGGAATTGTGGGAGTTGAAGTCCAAAACACCTGGAGGTCCGAAGTTTGTCCATGCCTGATCTAGAAGATATGTATTCAAATGCAGTAGACTATTATTATCCAATGTTCCATTAAATCAATTTCTTGGAAAAAAGCAGAGTGCCTTTTTGTTACAACATCCTAAGACAATGCAAAACATTCTTTTTTCATATCGTTCTGTGCATTTTATCACAGCTCAGACCTCATGATCTACTCTTCCACAGAGTATCTTTGTTTTTCATGAGAACTGCAGAATCATTCCCAACAGGATGAAACATTTTCCTTCACTGTCAAGCAAAGCATCAATTTAGCCGTTAGGCACCAAACAGAAGGATACTGCAATGATCTCTGGAATGTCATTAAACCCAGTGTTAATGACAGGCAAATCTAGAGTTTGGAAGCAATGAGTTACAGGTATCATAATTAGCCTAAAAGTACTGGGGTGGGGGAGAGAACAACGGTACATGAAAATCATATTTTAAAAATATCATACTGAGGAGAATTGGTTTATTATTTATTTAGTGGTGCAAGGTGTTCAGGTTTTTTGTCACTTTCAAACATTACTTTTAGATTTTATAGATATTATGACAGAGAACATTCATTCCATTCTCTTCTTATTCCTATATGCATATTTTAACAAAAAAATGAGCTGAGCATCAAATGATTTAATGAATTACCTTTTCATCATTGCAACAGGCAATTTTTAACACACTTTGAAAAGTAAATCAATACTTTAAATAAATACTCGCATGCTCTGGTGAACCACAGCTTTCAATGTTTTGGAGAACTAGAACATTTCTTCTACCCCACCCCAGGTGTCATCAGTTTTTATTTAGCAACAGAGAATGATGACTACTCAGACTCTGTAATATAAAAGCACATTTTGAAGGGATACAGCCAAGCAATAACTAGCACCTTCAGTCAAATTGTAAGGATTATTAAAACAGCCTCCTTTATGGAGGAGGGAGAGGCATAACTTTTTTCCTTCCATCCTCTCCTCTTTAAAAACCCACTACAAGCACTTTCTTCACAAAACCCTAAGTTGACATGGAGAAAGAAAGTGAAACCAATGTCCAATGCAAAAACAAAAGACACATTTTGTGCTATAAATTCATTTTAGCCACTATCTGGCAGATGGTTTACTCCATAAATAATTTAATATCAATTTTTGCCGGAACGTCAATAAAGGAGAATATGACTTTTTCTACAGCTAAAATGGATTCTTATAGACTTCAAAGCTGGCAGTACAGGCAGTAATGCAAATGTTTGGGGGTCCACAATTTATGAACCCTAGCAGTTTAGACTTCTCAATATGGTTGGGATGAAAGTAAGAGTGCCTTAAGGTCACCAAATGCGTATCACCAGGTGACCTTTGGCCAGATGGAGGACAGAACCTGGATTTCCCAAGTCTCATTCCAGCACAGTCTAGACCAGGCATGGGCAAAATTCGTCTTCGTCCCCCCCCCCCCCAGATATTTTGGACTGTAACTCCCACAATTCCTAACAGTGGTTGTTAGGAATTGTGGAAGTTGAAGTCCAAAACATCTAGAGGGCCAAAGTTTGCCCTTGCCTGGTCTAGACACTATATGAAACTAACCTTGCATAAGCCAATGTTTTAGAAATATAAGAATCTACCTAGACTTCTGGAAGGTTCAGGAATAAAACTATTTCTAAAAAGTAGGTCATATTTCTGAACATACTATGGCATATTCTTTTATATTCTGTTGACTGGGAAAAGGAGGGGTATAAATTTCATAGATAAGGAATAAATAAATAAATAAATAAATAAATAAATAAATAAATAAATATAGCTTCATTGATAACCATGAAGCAATGACCACCAAGCATCTGCTCTACCCAAACTGAGCTTTTGCTAACATTGCATATACAGGCCAAGATCCATTACTCCAGAGGTAGGAACTGCATGGCCTATAATTTCCAGCATTCTGCAAAACTGTCTATTCTGGCTAGGGCTGCAGGGACTGGCAGCCTAACAACATTATATAGTTTGTTAAAGCAACATTAAATGATAGGAAATTTCACATATTTAACGTTATGTTAAACTATAGTACCTTCAAAAGGTGAAGGCATTAACTAAGAAAGTCAGTGTGATATAATGATTTGAGCACTAGATTACAATTTGGAGAGAAGAGTTCAAATCCTCTCTGAACCATGGAAACCCACTGGGTGACTATGGGCAAATTCCACTCTCTCAGTTTGAGAGGGAGGAGAAGACAGATCTTCTTTGAACAAGTCTTGGCAAGAAAAATCCCATGATAGATTCTCCTTGGGTTGCTATAAGTCAGAAACAACTTGAAGGTACACAGCAACAAAAATGGTTAAAACTGTGTAACTAATAAAATTTAGAACAATACACAAGAGGTTTACAGATGAATAAAATCCAGTTGTATTCATGTACTGATGGATCAGTATCTGCAAGCTCAGCTAATTTCTTCTTCTCTGAATTTGGGAAGAAGGGGGGCTTTCTCTAGAACACATTTTGAGAAAATATGAAGTAAACACGAATAGGATTGGACTATGGCTTCTGATTTTTTAATCAATACTATTTCCAGATGTACTACAGAACTTAATTTCCCCAATTTCCTATCCTTTTCTGTGCTTTAAAGCAAACAACTCCAGAAGAATGTAAAGCCCATTTAGACTGCTCAGCAGAGTGAACAGAAATGCTAGCTTTGTGCCACATGATGATGCTGAGATGGCTTGAAACACATGAAAAAACTGTTCTCTTAAGATCTATTTGTAAAAACTAGAGGACATCACAGGAGGAAATGATAATTACTTTGGGAATTGAGTTGAGTCAGATTCGAACACCAAAGATAAAAAGAGTGAAATCTGTCAAATATATATCAGATAAACATTTGCATGTATTGAGATATAACAATAAACAATAGATTTCATTAATCTACAAAACATAGGGTGGTTTTAACCAACCCATGCATTCAGAGTAGCTACAAGGAGGTGGGAATCTTTTGCTTTTCGTATTACATCTAAACATTACATTGTAGTTAATCTTAACCATGGTTCATCAAAATAAGATAAAGTTGTAAAAATCAAGGTTTTAAATTGTTTTCTTCCAGCAAATCACAGTAGTTTGTCAGAACTAGGACATAATTCTTAACCAACAGTTAATAAACATTAAAAAAAAAGCTCTAAAATAATATTTCCAATTGATTGTGGGAAACATTTAAAAATGCAAAGTTCTTTAATGTAGATTTTTCACATTTCAAATACAACATCTATTAAACACAAGATAAACTACAAAAGAGCTTTCTCAATAGGGACAGCATTGAAATTATGCAGTTCTAATGAAATCTCTCTTAATATCTAATCCCAACTTCTTGTGTCAGTGTCATATCACTCAAATCATCATCTCATGTCTGTACTCTCAATGACCTCTGTGTCTATGACTGGATTGCGAAACAAACCATTATAACAAGAATCGGGACAATTTTGTCCTCTTCACATAAACTAGTAATGCTCCTTAGAAATAATTTGTACTGGAAAGAACTCTAATAGTTAGTCATAATATTTTCTTTACCATATGCATATGTTATTACTAAACAATGGGTTCATACTATGGACTTCTACAAAGCCCCAGTCAAATAAGATGTGGCTACTGCAATGCATTTTGCATGAGGCTAACTTTGATAACTGTCCAAACAGCCATATCTGTTGCAGAGTTGCAGAATGTGAAACTCCAAGAACAAATTACTCTATTGCTCCAAAACTACACTGGTCTATAATAAATGGGTAATAGCGTTTGAATACATTCAAACTTCAGCTTATGTGAGCTTGTCAAGATACTACAATATGTATTATTGCTGTTCAGATACAGTGAGTAGCATGACCTTTGAAACATTCTTTTAGTACAGATCTTCCACTAACAAACTTTCATCCTGATGAGGCAGTTTGTGAATTCAATGCAGAATAATTTCCAAACTTTCCATAATTAAAGATGTAATTTTTCAAGAAAAAAGAAGATCAGCTCTAGATCCATTTCCTACCCTGCACAAAACACAAGACTTGCTCTGTAGCTAAATCTTGTTGATTTGTATTCCTTAAAAACTTTGCACTGGGTTGATTCAAGAATGTGCTGTTCACTCTTTTGAAAAACATATTTAGAGAAATAACCTCAGGAAAAGCCAAATAGTCCTGAAAAACAATCTCTTCTTTTCAGAGAAACATACAGAAATTTAGAGAATGGAGG